TATATATATATGACAGACAAATCACACAGAATAGGATATTTTCCAATTTCAGCCACTCATATGTGGTTTTACAATGTGCTGAACAGTCATATCAGAATTCATGTGACTCTTACATCACTCTAGATTGACAATTGTTATGCAGGTCCCTTTAGGGCCGTGAACTGTTCACACTGGAATCTGATATGGGCCACATTTAAAAGAAATAACATGAACATCAAACAAAGAAAAAGGCTTTCAGTGTGAAAGTAGCAGCACAGACATACTGCAATCACATACATACACATCACTGACATTGCACAACTTGTCACTCTGTAGTTATATGAGTGACACTCAGTTGACTTCTTCCTCGTCTTTACACACCTTATTTAAACCAGTATACACATAAAATAAGTATACATGACCTTAAAGATAAGCAGTTATACAGAAATATGCATAATACATAGCTATAAAGACTCTTACCTGGCAGCAGAACAAATACTTGTTTCATGTCTGGAGAAAAATAATCCCCAAAAAGGCAAAAGATCCTTAAAGGATGAGCTCTACCCCAGCAACCCCTCTGATTAACAGTTTGTGCCTCTATTATTGGAGTGCAACTTTTATTACAACTAAGGACGTGAGTCCTTATCGTTAAACCCCAGCTTAAAGTCCAGCGTGTACTCAGTAAACTGCATTACATTTCCGTTGCTTGTCTTTATGACCCTCATTACATGCCTCACTTCAAAAGCTTTAGTTTACAAGAACTGCCTAATGTCATATATTGTGAATTCTCCAGATGAAAGAACAGATCCAGATTTTTGTAGTCTTTGTGTTGGAAAATATTAATATGAGTGAACTTTCATTCAATAAGCATCAAACCAATGATGAAATCAATATTTTATAAAGGCGTATGGAGTAGCATCAGTTTGGATTTTATTCTCTTTAAAAGACGCTTTTTATGTAAATAAACATATAGCACTAGCTAAATGTATCCTATGAACTTACCCCAAATATTTATATTAATATTAAAGTGGGTAATTTCAGAAAAAAGGCAAATTACCCTGTATGTGGTTATGGACAAGCTTTGCTGGATCTTATCTGTACTTTCAACTGGGAGATAAAAAATACCAGTAAATTAGATACTCCATGTACTTGAGGTCAACAAATTATCTGCAAAGAGTTAAACTATTAATCCACTCTGGGTACTAGAGTAGTACAGTAAGGACTTTTGAGGAGCTCAAAACCTATATATACTATATACAATAGTCTTGACCATAAAATAGGAAACACAATTAACAACTAAGGTTGCTACTTTCCTTTACAGGGGCTGTAAACTGACTTCCGTCAAAGGTTACAGGTCACGTCTGGTTTTCAGGTGTCTGGCCAATAAAACTGACAATGAGATCATCTCACAAAGAGCAAGCTATCAAAATGCCTGAGCAAAGGTTTGTGTATCCTTAGGAAATCATGGACTGTAAGTCGAGCAGAATCAGTGATAACTAATGGAAAGAGAGGCAAAAAGCCAGAAAGCACACACAGTGATTAAGGTTACAGATAGGCTCACAGTAAGCCAATGGCTGTGCTTCATTTAGCCATGCTGCTTGCAGTGGTGGAAGTAATATTTAGATTATTTACTCTACTACTACTCTATTACTGTGAAAATCATATTTGAGTTTTGGTTTACTTTTGGGTGAAGAGTTTGATCAGTTTCTGATTATGTGTGGGTCTATTGTGGTTATAGGTGTCCAACATTTTGTACACAAAGCTTTGGCTTTTGCAGAGCAGTTGACCCTTTGTCCAATATGAAACCAGGTTGGGACACATTGTAAAGGCAGTCAACAATAATTTGAGACCAATCCACACATGAACGACTCCAGTATAAAATGACACCAGTCCCACTTACAGGCCTTATGAAAACAATCACTGCAGTCACAAAAGGTTCATATTTCAGAACAAACCTCCGCCCCAAAAAGGAGAATAACCAAAGAGGAAGTGAAAATGCAAAATGCTATGATAGATGTTAAGGACGAGTTGGAGAACAGACCTCAACATCTGAATGCCTCTGCCCCGAAACAGGATATTGTGTTGCTACACTCAGGATGCACAAAATGTTCTGTTCATCAGCAACAGTGCAATATCACTCTGCTCTAATAACCTTTCAAACATAATCTTGTGCCTTCTTACGGCTATCATAGCACTAGTGTAGGATTGTTTTTTTAGCCTCCCTCCTAACTAGCTTGTTAGAAATGACTTGCTAGGCGTTTGTTTCCCCTTTTTAAAGTTGTTGCACAAATGTTGGTATGGTCTTTGGGATGGTTGCTGTTATACTTGCAGGGATGTACTGTGTGTTTATTATAACTAGCAAAAGGTCAATAGGGCGTTGCAAAAATGGTTGCAGGGGTGTTTAGCAAGAAAGAGTTGGTTTGAGTATTCCTCCTTAGAACTCATTTAAATATATGGATTCAAAGTGGCAGGCTGTCTTTTTGTCTCTCACATATCTGAAACTTGTGTGTTAGCTTCAAACAAGTCATTTACATAGTCATGGGCAGTTATTCTCTCATAATGCTGCTATACTGGTGCACGGTCATTTCCTGAGCAATGCATTTCAATGCATTGTTTTCTGACTCCTTAAAGTCATATAATAAAGAATTGAAAAGCCAATGACCATAAAAATCTTCCATTATACAGATTGATGAGAACGTGAAAACCCCACACATTAAACCCAGAACCTTCTTACTGAGGCAACAGTGCTAACCACTGAGCCACCAGGCCGCCAACTGAAAGGTTTTTAGTTAATAAGATGGAGTGTTTGTTGTTCATCAACTGGACAATCAATAGACTAATCATGTCATGACATGGCTGGAAAGCTAGCTTGTCTTGTTGTTAAACATTCTGTCACATTATATTTTTATTGTTTGTCAAGGGTTCTGTGAGCGGAGGGAACTAGAAGTATCTTGTGTTGCCAAATCTTATCCAAGGTTCATCCCATTTACTGGAGTAGTGAACAATGTTTCCATTGCATTAGAACCTTATGGGATGATAATGATTCTCCAGGTGTTACCAGGTAGACAGAGCTATGGCTTGTAAGAAAAACTCAAAATTTTAATTGCAAAACCATGGTCACTTGCCAAAGAACCTCATTGGGCATTATCCCTTACTTATTGTTTCAGAATATCCACGTTGACCCCATTTTTTTTACATTAAAATGCAGGGAAAAGTCAGCTCTTTCCTGTGTCAATCTTTACAGAAATCTGCATCAAAGTCTGTAAGTGTGGATACTAGACTAGAACACTGACTCTGATGAGTCATGTTTAGCATAAATCTCTTACACATCATTTTTTTTCCATGATAGGAAGTGAATGGGGCCACTTTTCGCCGTTTCTGGAGAGTGACATCCGTGTGAGCAAGAAAGTGTGTGGGTGTTTTTGTGTATGTTGCCCCTACTTCCCTCCCAACCCCCTTTTTTACCAGTAGCAAAATGTTGAAATGTGTCAATCTGTAACATGACACTTTCTCAATGAAAAGAAAAAAAAAAGTGTCACTGGTCAGTGGTATTAAGATTCCCTCCTTTTCATGTTCATGCTCATAAGTCCTCTGCTTGCAATGCATGGACAATGTCTGCTGCTCTGAGACTTATCAGAAGAATGCTGATTTCAAGGATAACTCTAGCAGCCTTGGTGCTCTTCATCCCAGCATGTTCAACAGCAAATGGTACAGTATGCACTAAGGCTTTCTTATATTCTGTAGCTAAGACCTTTTTTCCTGGTAAGTTACTCCTTGGTACTTACGTTTCTTTTTTACAAAGTTAATGTGGTCAGTTGTTTCAAATGTTCCATTCCAGAAAGTCTTACAAAACCTAGGCATGTGCAAAAATATATAATTTTGTGCAACATTTAAACTGACTTGTTTTTACATCTTTCTGCAGATTCCCCGTTCTCACTCATTAACAAAGCCACTGGTTTTTGTTTGCTGAAAAAATCCAACCGCTGCCTTGACATGCGCTGGACAACCGGTAATCGTCTCTATGCTATCTCAAACAAAAAGTGCCTGGGAGCGCAGGGCAAAAGTGTGGGGAGTGAAGTAAGCCTCTACGATTGTGACGACAACAGTGACCTCCAAAAGTGGGAATGCAGAAATGAGACACTGCTTGCCCTCAAAAGCCAAAATCTCTTCATTGAAATAAAACCTGATGAATCCATTGCTCTTTCCAAAACTGACGGGCCGAATAACCAACTCACAATCACAGGGACATCCAGTGGTGCTTGCTCGAGAACATACAGAGGTACAGTATGAAAACCTTCGCTTCGAAGTGAATAGCCAATGGAAGCCTCAGAAGAACACTATGCATGAGTAATTTAACTTACTAACTCACCTAACACATAAGTATATGATCAAGTAGAATGATGCATCAAGTTCCTCCTCGCTAGATTTTGGTTGTGCATGCCTGGAGTAAATAAATAGTGAAGAGAAAATGAAACAAATGATTGTGGTCTGCTCTGAAACAATATGGCAAAACAATGCATATTTGCAGAATAATTATTTACAACAATTCAGTTTAAGATTTAATTTGATAACCTCTTTTTCCTCTTCAGAACTTTATACCATTGGAGGAAATGCATTTGGCAAGATCTGCATGTTTCCCTTCATGTACAAAGATCGATGGTTTGGAGACTGTACTACATACGATTCCTCAACACGGCGTCCTTGGTGTGCGGTTGAAACAAAATATGAGCATGAACAGTGGGGATACTGCCCGACTTCTTGTGAGTACAGTGACATTTAAGAGTGCTACTTCAACAAAACAAAGCATGCAGTATAAGACCTAATGTTTAGCCTACATTAATACATTATAATGTTTGAATGACCGAAGAATTTATAATATTTCTTTTCCGTTTCTGTATTGATGCACAGCCACAGAGCACTGGCCAAGAAACCTTATAACTGGAGCGTATTACCAGCTCAACACAGAGTCAGTTCTGACCTGGTCTCAGGCTGACGCCAGCTGCAAACAGCAGGCTGCCTCCCTGGTCAGTATCATCGATCCCAATGAGCAGGCTTATATCTCAGGTAAGGTGCCACCTGGTGGATGTTTGCTGGTACTGAAACAGATACATACTGACCTAACACAGGTGGGTTAGTTTGTACAGACATAAAAATGCTTATATCACATGGTTAAAAAGGTTTTATGTAATTATTATTACATAAAAAGACTGAATTTGAGCAACAATTTTCTGATAAATCTTTAATCTTTAAATTCTTATTTTTAAATGAAATACTTAATGAAGAGTATGACACAAGGAATGCTGCTGCACTGGCCCAAATATCATCTCTCTTTTTTTCTCAACACATCTTCAATCTTACATTTGCATTTGAAACAGCAGACATATTGCTACTTAACTGTATAATGGAGACATGGGTTGTAGCTGGAGGGGAATCATAGATGAAATGACTACCAGTTACGTTTTGGACCCATTCCTGTCGACTTAATGATTGATCAGACAACTTCTCCTTGGGCCTCAAGTGTCCCACCAAACTTTATTACATTACATTATTAGAAACATAATTAATCTTGTAAGCTTTCACTACACAGCTAATTCCTTTTCTTGTGTTTTGATGCATTTGTAAATTTCGTAGATTTTTTGTGCTTGTTCGACTGATTTTCCGTCTTTTTGCGGACTTGTTATTAAGCAATGAAAAAGAGGAACAATGTGCAAAAGAGGAACACTTTCTTTACTCTGTCCTTTTACTTGTTTGTCCCTCTTAACCACACAAACACATAAATACACAGCACTACTGGGAACAGGGAAACTAAAACTCTGGATCGGGCTGGTCCTGGACCCAGAACATGGCTGGCAGTGGTCTGATGCGAAGCCTTTCCGTTATCTGAGATGGAACACAGGTAAGTCTTCAGTCAAGTAAAATGGTTTAAAATTGTCAGCTCAAGTTTCCTTAAAGGAACAGTTCATCCCAAAATCAAAAATACATTATTACATACATATTCATTACTATGTCTGCCTCGCTCCAATATAATGGAACCAGATGGCAGTTGGCTTGTGTTGCTATGTTACTGGTCTCCAAAACGAGCCGGGTCGTAACAGCACTAAAAAATAGTCTTTTTCGACCCAGTTAAGAGCAAAAATATGTATTTTCTATTTTTAGGTGAACAGCAGAGCCTAATGCTCTGGGATTAGCAAATTAATAGTGTAACATGTCAGTGTTGTGTTTAAAGCTTGTTGACGTTGACCCCAAGTCACATTAATCAAATCAATGATATCATAACTATTTTATTTGTACTTGAAACTGCATCCTGTAAACAATTTTGTGATTTTACATCATTGAAACATTTAAATGTTATACTGGAAGTGAAACTCTTTGCAAGGATTATACGTATGTGGATCTGCACTATTAAAGAATAAATCTCAAGTTAAATTATCATTTTCTTTTAGGAAATCCGCTTCCTAATCCGGGACACAACTGTGCATTTCTTGACTCTGCTGGGGAGCAAACTTGGCAAAGTTCATCCTGTGGCAAGAAACTGGGCTACATCTGCTACAAAAGCGGGGCTCCACCAACTCCTCCACAAAGTACACGAAAATATTACACTTTCTTCTATTCCCTCCTTTGGCTACTGTATTGTTTCTTTATGTGACACATTTACTGTAGGATATCAGTCATTCAATCCTCTATATTTTTGTTGTTGTCATCGTCAGTTGAGGAAGGATTTTGTTCAAGCCCTTGGATTCCCTATAATGGCCACTGCTTCCACCTTTATCGTACCACTCAAACATGGTCTAATGCTCAGAGAGAGTGCCGCAAAGAAGGAGGGGACCTAGTGACCGTCCGCAATGTGGAGGACCAAAGCTTCATGGTCTCTCAACTCGGATACGGTAAGTGAAGACCGTAGACATGAGCCTGTGCTGATTTGCTTTCGCTTTTTGTATTACATATGAGAATCCAAAGAACTCAACAAACCTGAGTAGAAGGATAGGACAAATGTGCATCCTTAGACTTAAAATAACTGTAAACATTAGAAGTTGTTTTCAACATGACTCCAAGTCTAAGAAAGGCAGTTATATGTACTAGGACCTTATTCACTTTTAACTAAATTAGGCTACTTACTCACACAGGAGGAAATCATATATCAGGATGTCATATTCTCACCTCCAGTTCACTGCAGGCCTCATGTCTGAATTCATTAAGCGGGCCCTATTGAAAAAAAAATCCTTTATAATTATGTTCAAAGCATCCTAAAAACAAGATATCAATTAATTAATAACTTCATATGTTTGCTGATTACTTAGGGACTTGCAGA